TTTCATGTTGCACATGTTTTTTTCCTCTGTCTGGCAACACACAACATGGCCTGCACTAGGCCGCATGGGGGACCTCCAGACGCGCCTCATACAGTCGACCACTCCACAATGAAGGCTCCTAGACTGGCCTGGACTGCCCCAGTGCAGGCCCCAAGGCCGGCCCAAAAAGGCCCCAAGAACCCTCCGGCCGCCTTCCAACACTCCATTGAAAGCCCAGACCCCCCAGCCCCAAGATACTCCATGACAAGACGACGATCTACAGACACCCCAAACGCGCTACGGCGGCGAGCGAGGGGGGAAAGCGAGAAGAAGAAGGCTTTCTCAGAAGGCGGCGGGGCTTCTCAGAAGTGCTCTGGCCTTCTGCGAGGTTTTCTCTGCGTCTTCGGGGAGTGCCCAGCAAACGTCTCAGAAGGCTGGGGCAATCCCGAGCCTTCTCCCGAGCCTTCTGAGAAGGCCCGCCCCTCCTCACTTCGCCTCCAGGCTCGCGGCCGAACGCTGCAGAAGGTGCCCCCAAGTTCCCGAACGGCCCAGGAACAGCTCCAGAGAGGCACCCGAGACGCCACCACGGGCAGCGCCACAGACGCGTGGCGCTGCGCCCGTGCAGTGCCGCCAGCACTTGGGCCGCACAACTTCCCCGGGCCGCGGCGGGGGGCACGCGCAGCGACACAGGATCCGTGTGTCAAGGCCGAAGACAGCTCCTGTGACACACGTGATTCGGTACACGGGCGCCGGAGAGCATTGCCCAGGTGCCCTGCAGGAGTCGCCGCTGGCAGCGGTGCCTGCTCCATCCCTCTCGCCGCTGCAGCGACAAAAGCCGCGGGCGCCAGGGGTCCACTCCCCCCCTGTTGGGGTGCGTGGGGGCGCTCGACGCCGAGGCGTGCAAGAGTGTCCGCACCTCCCTTGGGGCAGCGAATTGCTTCAGTCCAGCACAGAGCCAAGGCTACGTTCTGCAAGGGGCCAGGGCCTGAGCTGGCAGCTCCTGCCAGCCTCCTGGGCGTAGAGGGGTGTATCGGGCGCGCGCTAACATGTACTGCAGATCCTGGGCCCGGGGGAAATGATCCTGGCGAAGGACCCAAACATATGCAGCTGTGGGCACCGCAACTGTAACATCTTCTTCGCATGCGGTTCCCCCATCCAGTACAAAGATTTGTGACCCCATAAGGAGCTCCACCGAAGACCTCAAGGGGGGTGTTTGCATGCGGTTCCCCGCCCAGTACAGCACCTCGTGGCCCCACCGAAGGCCTCACTGGCGGTGATCGCACGCGGTTCCCCCGCCAAGCACCGCGCTTCGTGGCGCCACAGGGAGCTGCACCAAAGGCCTCAATGGCGGTGCTCGCATGCGGTCCCCCACTCAGTACATCGTTTCATGGCCCCATATGGAGCTCAAGGGAAGGCCTCAGTAGGGGTGTTCACATGCGTCTTCCCCACACTATAGAAAGCTTGGCGGCGCCATCGGGAGCTCCACCGAAGACCTCGATGGCTGTGTTCGCATGCGGTTCCCCCACCCAGTACGGCGTTTCGTGGCCCCATCAGGAGCTCCACCGAAGGCCTCAGAGGCGGTGATCGCATGCGTTTCCCCCACCCAGCACAGCGCTTCCTGGCGCCATAGGGAGCTCCACCGAAGGCCTCAGTGGCGATGTTCGCATGCATTCTTCCACCCAATACAGCATTCGGGGAGCTTCACGAAGGCCTCAGTGGCAGTGTTCGCATGCGGTTCCCCCACCCAGCACAGCGCTTCCTGGCGCCATAGGGAGCTCCACCGAAGGCCTCAGTGGCGATGTTCGCATGCATTCTTCCACCCAATACAGCATTCGGGGAGCTTCACGAAGGCCTCAGTGGCAGTGTTCGCATGCGGTTCCCCAACCCAGTACAGCGTTTCGTGGCCCCATAGGGAGCTCCACTGAAGGCCCCAGTGGCGGTGCTCGCCTGCGGGCCCCATAGGAAGCTCCACCGAAGGCCCCAGTGGCGGCCCCGCCCCATTGCGGCGCACCTCTCGCATGCATCGCGGGCCCATAATGGATCCCACCTGAAGCCACAGTGGCAGCGCCCGCATGGCGGCCCCGCCCCATATCGGCACATCCGTCTCATGCTTCATGGCCCCATGAGGAGATCCCCCGAAGGCGATACCCGCAACGACGGTACTCACAACTGCTTATCGTTGGGTCTTTCGCCCAGGTAATGTTTTAAATCCCGAGCCGTTTTTTGACAGTCCTGGGGCCCAGCGAAGGCCTCTAGTAGAGGCCTCCCAGATGGGGTCGGTGTAGAGATGGGGTCGGAGGATCGCGCCGCATCGCCGATGCGTCGCCGAAGCATCGACGATGCATTGGCGATGCACGGGCGATGTCGGCGATGCATTGGCGTCGCCTGCGTGACGACCAGCGGGCTCCACGCTGAGCCGCGTCGCCGATGCATCGCCGATACGGCGCGGTCCGCCGGCCCCATCTACTCGGACCCCATCTAGGAGGCCTAGCGGGTAGCGTTAGGTCGGGCATGTCCTCCTACAGGCGGATTTTGGAGGAAAAACGACAAACACTCGAGACGCACCCAAAAAAAGCTCAAAGACATGCTCCAAAAATCGTCCCCAGACTATGTGTTGCCTGCTCTTGAGTCTTCCTCCTGCAGGGGAACCTGCCCGACTTAAGCCTAAGGGTAGCGGCATCGGTGTGTTCCCTCCCCCCGAGCGTCGCCGCAGCGTCCCTCGACGGGGAGCCCGGCCGCCCGCACCGCGCGGCGGCGGGCGCGGGCGGCTGGCTCTCCTCGCGGCAGCCGCCGACCGGCAAGCCGCGCGGGCGCGCCGTGGCCGACGCGGAGGGAAGTCGGCTGCGCGAGCGCGGACCCCGAGCCAAACAACGTACAGTGGGGGCCCCAGGCATGATCGCGTCGGAAAAAAAAATCAGGGCCGGAGGTTTTTGGTCGATTTCGGCCTCTGCGAGCCCTCGCCAGGCCGCGGGACGTTCAAAAAACTACGCAGGATGAATATCAGGCCCCAGGGAAAGGGTCGGGACTTCCGGGGACGCCGTACTGAGAAAATCAAGACGTCGCATGTCTGGGGCCAGTCCGCAAGAAACCTTCCACATGAAACCCAACCCTGAGACCCCAGGGCGCCCATCGATTTATTTTCGGTGTGGGAGTGTCACGCTCTCCATGGCAAGAGCATCGACACCCAAGAAACCCAGGGCACCCTGGAGGCAAACAGGATGTTTCTTGGCATGGCCCCCACTGTACACCAGGGAAACAACCCAATCAGTGGATGGTTTGGGATATACTGAAACCGATAGTGGTATCGATAGGGAAATAGATCGTAAGACCGATGGTGAAATCGACGGTGAGGTCGATTGGGTACGATGGATCGTGAGATCGATCATGAGATCGACTGTGAGCTCGATCGCGGGAACCCGGAAATGGCCCAGAACCAGCCAGCGGGAACCCCAGAACCCGAAACCGTGAGCCCGAGAACCCAGCCGGCCACCGAGATCGGCCAGGGACTTTCGCCAGATCCTTCAAGTAATTATCCGCTAGGACCCCTTCAGTGCAAGCACTGATTGGGGAATAGTTTGGCTGCCCATGCTGGACATGAACTGCCAGCTCTCTGTCGCTATGTGTCCCCGCGCCGTTTGTCCTCGGCGCGGCCACGTGGACGACGCCGACGCCACGGCCAAAGCCACGGCAACCCCTGCCGCCCCGCGCCCGAGCAGGCGACGCCCACACCGCGGCAAGCTCACGGCGAACCCACAGCGTCCGTGACTCCCTACCAGACCACCCCAACCCAACCCGACGACCCGAATTTCGGTTTGGGGGGGGTACGGGTTCCATATGTGCTTTCTCGATGTTTACCGACCCCCCCCCACTGGAAATCGAGGGTAAATCTGAGCCTTCAGGTTGGGTTGGGGTGGTTTGGTGGTGGGTGGTGAGTCCGGGGCGGCGTTTGCTCTGGTGGCCGATGCGCCATCCCCCAGACGTAGGGCCGCGGGTCGGAGCAAACGGCGCGGCGACAGGTGGTTACTCCGAGCTTCTAAAAAAAGCGCTGGGGAGTACCCCCCCGACGGGGGTCAACCTCGCCTCGTCGTCGCGCCGCGACGGGGGTGGGAGCGCCTGCGGCGCGCAGTGGCTGCCCGCGACGGGGGTCGATGTGGGGCGGTCTGCGGGGGTGACGCCCCCCCGACGCTTATCAAGAAACTCGGAGTGGTCATGAGCCACGTCCACACTGCAGAGCAGGGCGGAGGCTACGGAGGGGCATGCCGCTCCTTGACAAGAACCTTGCCTGCGACCGCCGCGACCGTCGCGGCGACCTCCAAAACCAAGCTGGAAGTTTGGTTCGGGGTCGGGCCTCCCGCAACTTCTCGGAGGTCGGGAGGGGGTGTGGCGCAAAAGGGGTGTGGTGCCAGTCGTGGGAATGGCCATGTTGTCGACGAGCGATGACAACGCCAGACTCCGCAGTTGGATCAGGAAACGAGCGACACCACCCCATCTACGGCCCCAGGGGGCTCAGCCTATACCACGACCTCCGGCGCGGGTTTTTGCGTGGTGGGCACTGCGGCCCCCGATGGGCCGTAGCGCAACGCGGAGGGCCATGGGGTGGGGTGGTGACCTGCAGCCCCCAGGGGGCTCAGCGTGCTCCAGGACACTCGGCGCGGGTTTCTGCGTGGTGTGCGCTGCGGCCTCCGATGGGCCGCAGCGCGAAGTGGAGGGCCGCAGGTGGGGTCGTGTCCTTTGTTTTTGTTGGTCGAGCAGTGGCGCCTCTGGGGAACTCCTAACGTACCGATGCCGCTACTCCCAAGACCTCTCCCAGGGTGCGTTCCGGGAGGCGAATCCAGCGGTGGCGACGAGGGCCTCCCGGGAGGCCCCGAAACGGGGAAAAGGAGGGAATGGTCGAGGTAGGAGTACCTCTTCCTCCTCTGGAGCCACAGCCCTGTCATACACCACACCCCTCTGCTGCCTCCCCACGTGGCCGCGCGCCCACCCCCCCCCCGCCGTGGCGGGCGGCCCCGCGGGCGGGCGCGTCAGTTGCCCGCGGTCCCGCCCCGGGGCGAGCGGAGGAAGCCTGGCGCGCGGGGCAGCGAGGGCCGCGCCATGCGGGCGCGGAAGAAGCCGAGGAAGGACTGGCTCCGGTCGCGCGGGCTCAGGGCCTCGACCTGGGGAATGGGGGGGCGCGCAAGCATGGATTAGCGATCCATGGATCTGGCGCGCGGTCGCCCAATCCATGGATCGGGGAGGTGCCCTCACCAAAGCGGCCGGTGCCGCCTGGCGCGGCGGCGGAAATCCGCGATTTCCTATGGAGACGGGACCCGTCGCTAATCCACGCCCCCCTGATCCATGTTTGCGATCGCCTGAGGGAAACACGCAGATGCACTGGGCTGCGAGCGAGGGGGGGAAGGGAGAAGGAGGAGGCCTTCTCGGGAGGCGGCGGGACGTCTCAGAGGGCCTCGGGCCTTTTTCCTTGTCCTCGAGGGGAAGGCTCGGAGAACTTCTCGGAAGGCCGGGGGACTTCCGAGCCTTCTGAGAAGGCCCGCCCCTTATCAATTTCCCCCCTGGGCTTGCCGCCGAACTGGGGAAACCAACAAATACTGATACTGGTACTCCCAAGACCTCTCCTGGGGTGCGTCCCGCTACATCCATCTTCCATACCTTCCGACCCCCGCGGAAGGTGCGGAAGAAATCGTCGAAACTCAGGAACGGATTTCAAGAAGGCCCGCGTATATTATGTTAAGAAGGGGCGGAAGGTGAGGGCTGAAGGTTCGGAAGAATGAGGGGGAGGGGTCGAGTCCAGCGGTGACCATGCACGAGAGGCTCCCAGGAGGCCCAAGGAGGGAAGGACGAGGGAAGGGTAAGGGTGTGGGCATCAATTGTAGAACAAGAAATAAAAAACGCCATAAACATAACTTTTGGCGCTTCGCGCGGATTTCTTGGATCTGCGCTGGACCCCCCGCCCTGGCGCGCAGAGCGCGCCAACGGCTGCGCCGGAGGCGCCGCCCGGGAGGGCCCAGCGCGGATCCCAGCAATCCGCGTGGAGCGCCACTAGCTTATGCGCATGCCGCTCTTCCTCCTCCGATGTCCCTCCTCCGACGACCCGCACGTCGCCGTCCCCGTCCAGCGCCACCTTGGAGAAGTTGGAGCGGGGGCTGATCATGAGGCCCACGTCGTCGTCGGAGCGGGGCGCGTCGTCGACGCAGGGGCTGACCGCGCTGGGCGGCGGCTTGGCCGCGGCGTACAGGCCCACCGCCCCCCAGACGAGGAACACGGCCCCCAGCACGGCGAAGACCCCGGCCGCCTTCAGCATCCGGTCCTCGGAGGGGGCAGCGGTGCCCACGACTCGGCCCTTCGGCCGCCGTCCCCCCGCGTGCGGCCTCTCGGGAGGCCCTCGGCGCCACCGCCGGACTCGCCTCGGCGGCCGGGTCAGAACGCGGCCCGTCTGGGGGACAGCGGCATCAGTACCTTTAGGTCGGGCGTGTTCTCCCACAGACGGATTTTGGGCGAAAAAGAAAGATGAGCCAACAAATGCCCCCAAATGGTCGAACATAATCAAACAATCGTCCCCAGACTACTTTTTAAACTATTTTTGAATATTCCTCGCGTAGAGGGACAGGCCCGACTTTACCGTATTTTTTGGCTTCCCCAGTTCCCTTGTCTGGATGCGCTCCGCCTGCCCCTTGCTGTTCTGGGCGCCCTCCTCCGTCCACTTGTGCTGCAGCTCCCGCTCGTCCAGCTGCGCTGCCTCCTCCGCACCTCTCTTAGGAGGCAACTGCTGGGAGACTTTTGTCGGAAGGATCAAGGAGGATTCAGCCCCATTGGGGGGCGGTTACGCTGCAGTGGCCCTCGGATCAAGCGGGAGTAAGCCGGCTTGGGCGGGATTCAACGGGATTACAGCGGGAAGACGTAAGCGGGATGCACCCGGATGGAACGGCATCTCGGACGGGGGCAAAATCAGAATTGGCTCTCCCAGGAGTTCCATCCGCACCTCTCTGCTCCTCGGCCGCATTCCCGTCGCTTCGCGGCGCAAGGGGAGCGCTGCTGTTGTGGGTGCGGCCCCGCGCTGCCGGCACTGCGGCGGCAAGCAGCAGCGGCAGCAGGGCCAGCACCGAGCGCATAGCGCCTCCGGGGACTCGGCGACTGCGGCTGCGAGGTAGCAAGGCTGTGCACCGGCTGGGCAACTCCGGACCCGACGCACCTACGCGAGCCAGAACAGCAACATGAAGAAACGGACCGCGCACTCCCGTGTGGCCGTCGCTGCACATCTGTGATTGTGGTTTCATCTGCAACAGTGCCGAGGGTACCGGGCGGAGTACAGCAAGCACATGCGGAGGAAATCTTGCCATGCGAACGTCCTCATGCTCCTCCGCATGATCACCTCCCTCCTGCTGCTCCTCCTCCTCCTCCTCCTCCTCCTTCTCTTTCTTCACCTCCTCCACCTTCTGGGCGTCGTCTTCCGCCTCCTCCTCGTGCGGCTCCTCCGCCTCCTTCTCCACCTCCTCCTCCTCCTCCGCCTCCTCCTTCTACCTCGTCGTGGTCAGCGTCGTCGTCTTCAAGGTCGGCGGCATTGGCCGTAAGGCCCTCGCAATCTTGCCAGGTGAAATCTTGGGGATGTGTTTCGTCGATCACTGAGGGGCTCAACGTGCCTTAGAGGTTCTGGTTGGTCCAGAAGAGCCCAGTCGAATCGATAAATCGAACCGGCGAGCGAAATGAATCGGATCGGTGAAAATCGGCAGCCAAGTCTGGAGGATTCGAATCTTCGGAAATCGGCAGAGTAGTAATGCCTCGTTGAGAAGTCATGATCCAGATCGGAGTCCAGAGTCGAATCGAATCGGAAGCGGAATCCATCGAAATCGAATGGAATCGAATCGGAGGGCTCGACACGAGCCCCGTGGGTCCCCTGGGGACACCGGGGAACGAGCAGCCTCCGCGGGGCACCTGCTGGCCAGCCGATGTCCTACCTTTATATGGGTCCGCTCCGTCGTCGGGTCACCTGGCGTCCCGCTTCGACATGGGGTGCTGTTCGGCGGTGAGCGAGGGGGGGAAGGTAGAGGAGGAGCAGGAGGAGTGAGAAGGGTAAGGTCTTGTCGGAAGGTTCGGAAGTTCCCCGGCCTTCTGAGAAGTTCCCTGAGCCCCCACCAAAGACACACACAAACTTCTTAGAAGGCGCGAGGGCTTCTGAGAAGCCCCGCCGCCTTCTGAGAAGGCCTTCTTCTGATTCTTCTTCTCATTTCTCCACCTCACTTGCCGCCAAGTTGTAGATACCCTGACGAATCCCCAGGCCGCCAAGTCACGGGTCTCTTGGGCTCTCCTGGGCGCCCCCGGTTGCTCTTGAAGTGTGCCGCGCGCGTTTCCCCGAGGCCTCGGGAGCATGATTCGGAATCTAAAAAGCCAGCAGCGTATCAAACCTGCGTGTTTCCGGATGAAATTGGCATTCTCGCAGTTTCGGTCTCACGAGCTTCCAAGGAGGCCCATGAGGCTTCCAAGGTGGTCCAGACGGCCTCCGGGGCTCCAAAGAGTGCCCAAGAGGCCTCCAAGTCAGTGAAAACAGGGGCAGCACATCCGCCACGGGCAGACTGGACCAAGATCGGCACAGGACCGCGAAGGCCTTCCAGAGTACCCCGAGACCGAGATGCCATTAAACGCCTCTGGAGAGCCTCCCCAGAGATATATCCCCCCGAGACTTCCCAAGAGACCCCGTGAAGTCTCCAAAGACCTACGTATGGTCCACGACTTAGTCTCGGTGGTGGCTTGGGCCAAACACCGATCTAGACTCCAATGGGTAAACACCTATTGGCAGAGACATATGGGCCACGATTTCGATTCCTCGATCCTTGCAAGGAGTAGGACTGTCTGCTGGTTGATTGGTTTGCCACTGGAGCCTCGGGCTGTGATGTGGGGTCAAATGCTCCCCTCCCTTTGCTCTCTGCCCGTCTTTTCGTCTCTCTCCTCGTGTTGTCTCTCTCCTCGTCTTTGCTCCCTCTTCTCGTCTCTCTATCCTCGCCTTCCCTGCAAGTCTTGTCGGGTTCCGCTAGTTTGGGTGGCCTTGGCCGCCCTTGGGTGCAGCCGTGCTCTCCTGCGGGGTAAGGAAACGCAACGCTTGACAATACCTCTTCGTGTTCCGTGCGGTTTGAGGTTGCCTTGTCTCCCATCCCCCTGCTGCCGCGCGCTACTTGCCGTGGAATCCCTCCTTCCTGCTCAGCTGCCTCCTCTGGCCATCGCTCGGACGTCCATTCCCTTTTTGTTTTCGGTTCAGTGCGTGGCTTTTTCGCCAAATGATCAAGGATGCTCCTCGATGGTCCTCGTCGAAGGAAAAATGCACACGTCCGAGCGATGCCAAGTCCTTTCGTGCTCATTGATGTGTGCCTGTGTGTAGCTAAAAACATTTGTATACACATATACACACGCACGCTCGGACAACGCGCGCGTTCACTTCGTGCGCCAAGTCCCACCAGCCCTCTGGGCGCAGGTGGTCTAACGTCTAACGATGACTCTCTCCCTTCCACAAACCCTTTTCCCCGTCGGGGAGGGGTGTCCCCCTCCCCCTACCCCCTCCCCTGGACCTGGGCGGGGGGGTGGGCGCGAGGCGCTGGAGCGTCCAAGATCGACCCCTGGGAAGGCCAACTGCTGACACCCCTCACGAGGATCGTGGCCACCGAGGGGGGGGGCCTCGATCGGGACCCTCCCTCCTTTGATCGATAACTTCGAAGATGGCCCCAAGAAGCGCTCCAGGGCTCCCAAGACCCCCCCAAAAAAAAACCTCAATAGGGTCCCAAGAAGGTCCGAAGAGGGCCCCAACAGGCACCCGAGAGACCCCCAAGAGGCCCCTGAACAGTCTCGGGGAGTCCAAGATGACTTCCAAGATGGCTCAACTAGCCCAAGTTGGCTCAACATGGCTCCCAAGATGCTCCAAACGGCCCCAAAACCTTTCCAAAAGCGCCCAAAAACGCTCCAAGAGAGCCCCTACGAAGCGGTTTGCCGCCTCCTGAATGGGGGGAACTGAACTGAGAACCCCCCCATCCTGCAATCGACGGCCTCCAAGATGATCCCAAGAAGCCTCCCAGGGTAGCCCATTCAGAACCCCGCCCTTCAGAGCTGACGGGAAAAGGGACGAAAAAACACATCTATGGACACTAAAGCGAGCAAGGGAGTGGCCTTTGAAGGCCTCTACGGGCCATCCCTGGGTGCCGCGTGGGGGCGAGGGGAAAGGGATGGGCAGGACAGGACAGAACATCTGCATGAGGAGGCCTCAACGTCAATGCTCCCGCTAAGAGCAGTGTGGATGGAGTGTATGCGTAATTCCACTGCGTGAATAGTATGCAACAATGCCCCGACAACCCTTTGACATCATATCGCGAGAACTGCCAAGGTCTGCGCGAAGACCGGTGGGCACACCGGCCACTAGGCGTGGACGCTGCCTTCCTCACCCTAACCCCTTCACGCCCCCCCGGCTGCACCACGGGCGACCGTGCAAACCCGCTCGCGAGGAGCCCTGGATGACCAGTCAGTAGCCTCGCTGCGAGCCCAAGGGGTGCGGCGCAGCCAGCACGTTCTGCCAGGGCCTACGCCGATGGCACGTGCGCGCGGGCCTGCACAAAAAGGGGGGAGGTGCCCGATGCCCCTCTTTAGCTCGCGAGGCACATTCCTGTCGGTCTCCCACAGACAGAAGAGGACCGAGGACGAGAAGGGAGGGGGACGGCGGAGGAGGCAGCAACAGCAGCAACACCAGGGGAGAGGACAGGAGAGCCTGCATTGCGAGATGCCCTCGCTGGTGCGTGCGGCTCTCCCTGCGCCGACACGGGCGCATCTCGCGCCAAACGCGCCCAGGAATGCCCGACCCCTGCTCTTTCTTTTTGCTTCAGCTCGTGCCGTCGCCCCTTTTCTCACGTGAGGCAAATGTGTACTGGTCTCCCAAACTGGTGAAATCCCCCCCACGCTTTCCCATGTTGAAAGAACAAATTCGACCCTCGGCAAAATATGGGACATGTCTCTGTTAGCCAATCGGTGCTGTGCATCCTCCGCAGACAAGTGCTGGCCAATCTTGTTCCGCATATGTCATAGATGATGCTCTGCACGGTATGTCCGTAGCAACTGCGGGTCCGCTTTTCGGTGGCAAACTCTTTGAAGTCATCAGGAACCCCCGCTGGGAAATGATTACGGTCCCGTTCCTTCAACTGGCCACTCCACCTCAACTTCTTCCTCGCAGGAGGAGGAAGAGGAGGAGGGCGAGGACGCGGATGAGGACGAGGAGGACGAGGACTAGGATAAGGACGACGCGGGCGAGGACTCATGGAACCATCTTGAGGTATTATTGCGGCTGCTGCTGCTGGTGCTCTCTGGGAGTGTTGGGGGCCCTCGGAACCCTCTTGGCTGGTGGAGATACACGAAGCGAAGCGTGAATAATTTCTGGCGCAACCCGTGGCATTGCGTCAACGACTGGCAAGCAACAGCGCATCGCATAGCGATCGCTAGGTTTTAGAATGCGCGGGCGGGTGCTGGAATACCAGATCACCATGGGGTGACTGTGCGCTTACTACGCCATATACACAAAGGGCGCAAGTCTCATGGCGTCGCACACCATCCTGGACCAGCACCTCCTCAAGGTGTGGAAGGGATACGAGCACGCGATGTGGGATGACTACCGAGCGATGCTGCAGTTGTGGCTCGGCCAACGCAGCATGCTAACCCACGCCTAAGGCGTGCAGGGTGCGGGAAGTGCTTCGAGGTAGTCTCCCGCTGCCCGCGTCGTTCAACCACCGTTTGTCAACGCATCGCAGATCGGCTCAGCCCAGATGACATCACGCCGCAGGAGAGGGCAAACCTGCCATGGCGGGTGGCCCCGACGAATCCGACTTAACTGAGTGCACCCGCGCGCCGACGGCACAGGGCATGCCGTCCGGCCCATCTTCATCAGCAGCGTCGCCCGGCGACATGGAGCTGCCAGGCGCTCGGCCCGCCTCTCCCTTCCTCGAGGTCCAAGCTCCAGGGCCTGACCGTGATACCCAGAAGGCAGAAGTGGGACAGCGCAATGCTGAGTGATTTGGCCCCCCCGCGTCATGCGACATTTTTCAGGCAGGAATGCTGCGTTCTCGCCGGCGCGGGCCGACGTGGGCTTCTTATGAC